TCTAAAGGAGAAAGGCAAGCTGGCAACATTCTTAAAGACAGTGTTAAATTCTATCTTCATGTGGATGGTACAAATAGCACTCACAATAAGAAAGACTTTGTGAACAATTTCTCCTCGCCAAGACACATGGGATCCACCAGAGAGAGGACGCTGTCACATTTCCTTGGCTGGGCCAAGTTCTTGAGGTGTGGCCGTCGTGCGATGATGAAACCTAGTAGTTATGGACTGACCTAACACACCCAGGAGACACCATCGATGTGATCAGCCTGCCTTTGAGGGAGGGGATTCGGGTGGGGTGGTAACACCCTTCATCTGCTCAGTCCTGAACTGATGTCAGTGAGTTCCCCACAGTGTGTCCTGTGTCACCTTGTATTTCAGAACAGATAAAAGAAGACAGAAGCGAGCAGAGAGGAGGGTGGTCCTGTTGCCACCAAGAGAGGGGACTTGTCCTTTGGACTCACTGCTCCTGTCCTAAAACTTCCCAGAACCAGGTGACACAGAAAACCTTCCTCTACAAGCAACCCCATGAACAAAAGATCTGAACCCTGTTCTATCCTGCGCCATCCTCACACTTCTTGACATACAGGAGCCCATCGCAGCAGTTACTGCATCAGTCCATCTGGTTAAGAGTTTCCTCTCCTTCACTGACCCTCCACCCTTCTCACCATCATGTCCCTCTCCAAGGAATAGCCCCTCCTAGCAACATGCCCAAAGTATGTGAGGTGAAACTTCATCACTCTTGTCTCCAAAGAGCACTCCAGCTGTACCTTTTCCAAAGCATATATTTTCATTCTCTTGGTCGTCCATGGGATGTTCAGTGCTCTTCTCCAACACCACAACTCAAAGGTTTCAATTCTTGTCACCCTTATTGTCTGGGTCTCAGATGCATAGCTAGTAATGTGGCCTGAATCAGACACAACTTAGTCTTCAAATTGACATCACTGTTGTTGTTGTTGTGTACTGTCAAGTAGCAACCGACCCATCGCTGACCCTCCAGCAGGTTTTCAGAGGCAGTTAATCACACAGAAGAATGCCCATCCTTCTCTGAAGGAGAAGCTGGTGGCCTTGAACCACATGTCTTCAGGATTGCAGTGCAGCTTCTTGCCACAAGGCCACCAGAGTTCCCGTTACTACTCCTCAATGATTTGGAAAAGTCCCTAACCGCAGATTTTCTCAGTGGAATGCTTCTTATTATTTCCAGACTGCTCACACCAAGGGTATTAATTATGGATCCAAGCAAGATGAAGCTGTTCAATAGTCTCAATCTCCTCTCCATCCATCGTGTGACGCTGTCTATCAGTCCAGTGGTAAGAATCTTTCTTATCCCGACATTGAGGTTACTAGTGAGTCTCCCTTCAATCCTGATGCCACACCTCTTTTCATAGAGTCCAGCTTCTTCAATAATTTGCTCAGCATACAGCTTGAATAGGTATGGACAGAGAATACAACTCTGGTGCACTTCCTTCCCAATTGCAAACCATGCAGTGCCCCCCTGCTCTGTTTGTATAAGAGCCTCCTGAAACCTGGTACAGGTTTCACATGAGCACAATCAAGTGCTCTGGGATTTCCTGTCTTCTCAATGTCAGCAACAACTTGTCATGATCCACACAGTCAAACACCTTTGCACAGTCAATAAAGCACAAGCACATATAGACATTTTTCTGTTATCTTTACATTCAGAAAGGATCCATCTGACATCAGCAATGATATCTATGGTGCCATGGTCTCATCTAAAAACTGCTTGAACTTCTGCAAGTTCCTTATCTCTATACTGTTCCATCCTTTTTTTTTTTATAATGGCCTTCAGCTGTATTTTGCTTTCATGTGATATCAATAATATTGTTTGATGATTTCCACATTCAGTTGGATCACCTTTCTTAGGAATAAGAACAAGTATGGACCTCTTCCAATCCATTGGCCACAGAGCCATCCTTCAAATTTCCTGGCATAGGCTGGCGAGCGCATCCACGGCTGCATCTGTTAATTGAAACAAGTCAATTGGTATCCCGTTGATTCCTGGAGCCTTATTTTTTTGCCAGTTCCTTCAATGCAGCTTCTACTTCCTCCTTCATTACTTCTGTTCCTTGGCTCCTGTTCACATGACACTTCCTGAAATTTTTCACCATCAATCAATTCTTTCTGTGATTCTCTCCATCTTCTTTCGATGCTTTCTGAGTCTTTCAATATATTGCCCATAACATCTCCAGCTCTCTGCATATTGTTATACTATTTTGCCTTGTCCTCCAGAGTTGCCCTTTGAAATAGTCTGTTCAGCTCTTTAACTTAGACATGTTTTCCTTTAGATTTGGCTTCTCAATACTCTAGTGCAATTTTTAGAGTCTCTTCTGACATCCATTTTGATTTTTTTCTTTCTCCTCTGTTTTTGTAATGTTTTCGCTTTCTTCGTGGATAGTACCCTTGATATCATCTCACCACGCATCTGGGCTTCTATGACTGGTGTTCAATGCTTCAAACCTATTCTTCAGATGATCATGAAATTCAGATGCAATTGATTAAAGATCATTATTATCTTGTTTCCTGTGAACTTATTTTTTTCTTCAGCCTCAATTTGAACTTGCATATGACTAATTGATGATCTGACTCCTGTCTGCCCCTGGCCTAGTTTTGACTGCTGATATTGAGCTTCTCCAATGATTTCTTCTACAAATGTAGTCAATCAGTTGCAGCCCATCAGGTGAAATCCATGTGTTGTCATCATTTGTGTCTTTTAGAAAAAGTATTTGCAATGAATAAATAATTGTAAATACAAAATTCAATCATTCTATTTCCAGCTTCATTTCTATCATCAAGCACGTATTTTCCAAGTACTGTTCCTTCTTCACTGTTTTCTACTTTTGGATTCCAGTCACCAATTGTCATGAACACATCCTGATTGCATGTTCAGTCAGTTTCAGATTGTAAAATTTGGTAAAATAAATCTCAATTTCTTCCTCTTTGGCTCTAGATACAGGAGCATATATTTGAATAATAGTCATGATAATGAGTCTTCCTTTTATACATATGGATATTATCCTATCACTCACAATATAGCATGTCAAGATAGAAGTTTAGTGAAATTGACTTTTTGACTATGAATGCAACACTATTCTTCCTCTGTTGTTCATTCCTTGCATAGTATTCTATATGATTATCTGATTCAAAGTGGCCAAAGCTCACATCACATCTCACTATAATGCCTGTATGCCCACATTCATGTGTTCCATTTAATTTTTAAAAATTTCCAGTTTTCCAGCATTCAAGCTACATATGTTCCATATTCCAATTGTTAACAGTGTTTGTTATTATTTTCCTCATTTCAGCTGACTTGCAATCTGGGCTTTATCAGTACACCACTATAACTATCCTTGTGTTCTCATTCCCAAGAAAGGTGATCCAACAGAATGTGGAAATTATAAAACAATATCATTGATATCATATGCAAACAAAAAAAACTGCTGCAAGTCATTAAAAACCAGCTAGAACAGGACATAGTGAATTTTAAGAATGTCAAATTGGATTTAGAAGAGATCATGGCACCAGGGAAATTATTGCTAATTTCAGACTAAAGTAAAGAACACCAGAAGAAAGTCCATTTGTGCTTTATTAACCATGTAAAAGTATTTGACTGTGAGGATCATAACAAATTATCACTGTGGCATACCTGATCATGGCAGTATTGCTTTATTAGTTATATAATAGGTTAATCAACTGTGATATAGCAAAAAAGTGGAAAGGATCCCCAAGCCTATCAATTGATGAATGGATAAGCAGGTATATGGCCTATTATTTAGTGATGGGAAGGAGTGGAGTGTTCATTGGCACCTGTCTTAGCACAGATGACCTTGGAAACTTTATACTATGTCAAAGAAGCCAGTCACTAAAGGCAGGATAGGCTATGTTCCACTTTAGGGAATTGTGAGAGAGGTAAGTCTATAGGGACAGAGAGTAGACCCTGTTCCCTAAGGCTGACTGATGAGGTGGATTTTGGAATATGATAAAAGTGTTCTAAAATTAACGGTGGTCATGTTGTTGTGGTGGTGGTTGTTGTTGGGTACCATTGAGTCAGGACCGACTTATAGCTGACCCTCCAGCGGGTTTTCAGAGGCAGTAATCACACAGAAGGAGAGTGCCCATTCTCCTGCAGAGCAGCCACCAGATTTGAACCAAGTGCCTTTGGGATTGCAGCACAGATTCTTAGCAATAAGCCGCCATACTATAGTAAAATATATTAAAAACCATTTTAAACAAGTGGGTTGTAAGGTGTATGGTTCAGATCTGCTGTTCATAGGGTTAATATTGGTCGTACTCTATTTGATGACACCCAACAACAACAAGGTGTATGCTGTGTGGATTATACAAGAAGTAACTAGTGATTTCCAAACTGTATGTATGCATTTGGAAAAGTGGGCGATAAGTCTTCAAATGTGCGTCCCACTGCGGTGAAGTCAGATCTCTGGAGACTGTAGAATACAAGGGAGGAGACGCTGGGGGTGGGGGGTGAACTATCAGCGCAGCCCGTGACTTGGCAGGGCGTCTCCTCACTGCTGGGCCACCAGAGTTCCGCAGAGAGCCAGGGCATGAAGGGTGCGAGGTCCTTACCTCGGCTGGGATGCCGCCCAAGCATGTCTTTAAAATACTTACACAAACCATTTCTCAGAGACCGTGTGCCCCGTTCTGTTCTCTCTCTTTCCCTCCTCGCGGCTCCTGCAGGCTCCTTCCCTCGGTCGTTGGTGTGAAACATATCACAGACGTGCTTGCTCCATGGTCACTTGGGCCAGAGGGAAGTCCTTAGGGATCTCAGAGAGGGTCCCAGCGATGTGCCCTCCAGGGCACATGCCCACCCTCCTGTGCCCTCAGTGCAAGCACACCCTGCCCTCGCCCTACCTCTCCAGCGCCCCAGCCATCCTGGAGGCGTGGGCTGGGGTCCGAGCTCCGCCTCGCCCCCAGCTCCGCCCCGCCGCCCTACCCGCCCGCGGGGTGCCGGGGCCCCAGTTGGCGGGATGCAGGCTCCGCGCGCGCCGGACGCGAGCTGGGATCGGCGCCGGGTTGGAGCGCGGCTGCGCGCGGCGCTGGCGGGGCTGCAGGAGCTCCAGGTGCTTCGCGAGCAGCAGCGGGCGCGCGTGTGGGAGGCCCTGGGCGCACGGCCGTCTGCGCCCGCCTCCACCGCCCGCGAGCCCCGTGGCCACGAGTGCCAGCTGGAGAGGGCGCTGGCTGCGCTCAAGGAACAGTTGGTAAGGCGGGCCCGGGACTCTGGGGCCCAGTTTGCAAAAGGGGATTTCTCTTCCTGGGCTGAGACGCCACAGCGAGGCACTCTGGTAATGGGCTGTCCTCCTCTCGGGGTGTCACACTTCTGTGGCTGGAGCGCAGTGCTCTTAGGGGCGTGGGGCGCTGCTGCAGGTAAGGATCATTGGAAAGGTCCTGGGCGGGCAGGCCTCCGGCAGTGCTGGCTCTGGGCCCTACCTTGCCGGCCTCACGGGTGTGTTTCGGAAGTGCCCTGGCGGGATTTGCAATTGTTCAGAAGTCAAACTTTACAGTAAACCCCGCGGGGATGCACTCGAACCTAGATCCCCACCGCTCCCCAAGGCGTTGAGTCCCCATCATCCTGGAACAGGATCCACTGACAGCAGCCCCGGCTGCGCGGAACCGCACGAGGGGGGATGGGGTCCCACGTTTCTGGAAGGACGCGCTCTGCCCCGCTTCTTTCACTGCCAGAGGCAACCTGAGTGCAGGAAGAGGTGTGTCCTTACTGGGAAGGGGAGGCTGGCCCTTTGCACCTCCTGCCTTTACCCCATAAGCCCCTACCAGCTCTTTCCAGATCGCAACTGTTGTGGTGCAGTCCTCATTCGCTTACTGCACACATCAAAATGACTTGCTGAAACAGTGTTTCTTACTGGAAAATAGGAAGGCTGTCATGATACAGACTTGGCTGAATGGTCCCGAACCCCCAAAATGGGAGGTGCTTCAAGGCTGTGCTGTTTAGAGCAAGCCACACGCTGTGGGTTCCAGGGAAGCGGGCCGGTCTCCTCCTAGAGCCCAGTCTTGCACGTCCTGGCCTTGTGCTTCCGGAACCAGCACCAGGAGCTAGGTTCAGGATTGCTGTTGCTGCCCAAAGGCTCCCTGCCACCTTCCCATGCACACGGCAGAGGTGCCAGACCCACGGGACAAGCCCAGGTTTACACACTTGGTCTGAAGTAGCTGACAGAAAGAGGGACCTGGCTGGTTCTCGAACTTTCTCCTGCATCTTACCAACCTCCATAAAGCCACTTAGCCCTGAACACGAGCCCCCAGTAATTCTGGGTCTAAATGTCACCCAGCAGCCCACAAAGGCCGGGGTTGTCACACACACCTGCATGGTGGTGAGGCCTGGGTGCTGAGAAATGCGGGAAGAACGCAGCTGAGCGGTAACTGGGCTTAGGGCATGTTCCCATCGGCTTGCAGCTCCAGCCTCTAATTACAAGTACCCTTCTCGAAGAGAAGATCAAACGCTTAGTGCTGAATTTATTCTTTCTCTTTGTGTGGGACCTGAAGGAACATGCCAGCCGGCTTGGCCTTGGAGCTGTCAGGTCATGTGATCCAAAGGGGAGGGTCACCGAGGAGGTGTGACTGGAGCCCATGGCCCACCTCTGCATTTTTATTACCTGGAAGAAAGTGGAGGTGGTGCTTAGTGCCCAGTGACGAGCAGCTACCCTGGAACAACGCAGCTGAGGTACAACGCAGCTGCAGCGGGCTCCTCTCTCCACGCCCCAGGTGCTTCAGCAGGGGGTGGGGTGGGAGGAGGTGGGGGGGTGGGTGTTGGAGACTGTAAATAAGCAAAGGAGGAGATTGCCGCTCTCTCCTGCAGAGCTCCCGGTGGGTCTGCCTTAGAGTTCTATCCGCACAACCCTGAGGACGAGACCAATGCAGCTGCTGTTAGTGTCATGGAGGGTGACAGAGAGCGACCCTCTGCACGCACATCAGAGCCCTGTCCGACCCTGGGCCGTCCTCAGCATCTCTGACACACTTGAGCACATGACTGCGGTTACACGTTGGTCCACCTCGTGAGGTCCTATTTTTCCTAGCTTGTGCTTATTTAATGGTAATTTCTGAAGACGGAAGAGGATGTGCTGAACTCTAGGATTCCTTGAGCAGAGACTCCCAGAAACAAAGGCCAAGAAGGTCAAGTCTCCAAGGGCTCAGTCAGGGAAGAACATCCTCAGAACTAGTCACTACTGTCACGCCAGCTGTGCTCTGGAAGCTTCCTGACTTTCTAATGCGTGTTCATGGCTGGCCTGGGATCCCAGACCTGCCCCGTGAGTCTTCAGAGCTATGGCTTCTTGGCAGTGGGACCTGTGTCCGCAGACCTGTCTGTGTTGGAACTGTTGACCTTCCAGCTGAAAGCCCATGTCCCATCTGGGCCTTCCTTGCTTACGGCAGGGTGGAGTGCGTCTGTCCCCCGCAGACGCAGGCTTAGGCCTTGGGCAGAGCTGTAGAGTTCACCCTGGTGGTCTGCCGATTCTGCATGCTGAGGACCAGCTTTGGCTCAGGCAGTCGGGTGTGCATCAGAGAGTGGCGGCACCAGGGGCCAGTGTCGGAAGCAGCTTGCCAGCCTTCCCTCCTTGGTGTCTTGGGTGGACTTGGACCTTTGAGGGAGCTCGGTGTCCACTGTGCAGGCTGCCCGAAGGCTGCTTTGATGATCATTGCTGTGATGTGCTCACCGTTACACCATCACTGTGATGTCACAGATGATGTTGCCATGGCACTGTCACTGTGACGTCCCAGTAATGATGCTGTCACCACGTTCTGACTTGAAGTGTGGGCTGTCACTATGACATCACGATGATGATGTTGCCAAGACACTGTCACCGTGACTCATTACAATGATGCTGTCATCAGTTCTGACATGAACTGTGCTGTCTCTGTGACATCAGTACAGTGATGTTGGTATGATGTCACTGTGATGTCGCTACAGTGATACTGTCATCAGTTCTGACATGAACTGTGCTGTCTCTGTGACATCAGTACAGTGATGTTGGTATGATGTCACTGTGATGTCGCTACAGTGATACTGTCATCAGTTCTGACATGAACTTTGTGTTGTCACTGGCCTCTGACTGCCCCATGGGTGGGGATAAGGTGGGCGACTGGGCTCAGTGGGGAGATTCACCTCTCTGTGCCCTTGTGCAGTCCCACGCAGCGTGTCTCCACCCGCAGTCCCTGAGGTGGTGGTAATGGTCGTGTGCTGCTGAGTCTGAACTGACTCCTAATTGATGCTCTAGTGGGTTTTCAGAGGCAGTAAATAATGCAGAGCATTACCCACTCTTCTCCCACAGAGCAGCTGGTAGATTTGAACCGCATGACTTTGGATTGGCAGTGGAGCTCCTTGCCGCTAGGTCACCAGAGGCCCTGGGGTAGAGGGTACTAAACATTTCTGCTCAAGAGGTTTGTGATCACTGAGAAGCACATGGAGATGATGGCCCAGAGCAGCCGGGCTCGTGATGTCAGGGCCCAGGAGTCTGCACCTCGACTCCTTACTGCCCTTGCTGCTGTCTGTAACCCTGGGTCCCTCACCCTGTCCAGCCCCAGGACTCCTGACTGGGAGAGGGCAGGTGGAGGGAACACAGAGACCGCCACCCCCCAACTGGAGCACAGTGGCTGGGCAGTTTCTGCAGAAGATTGTGCGTAGAGCTGGCCCTGTGATGCCCTTGTGCCAGATGACAGTCACCCTGACCACACAGAGTGGAATCGCTAGGATCACCCCAGGATTGACGCTGAGGAAGTTAGAGAGCAGCCCGAGGGAGGGGCTGCAGAGGGCCCTGCAGTGCAGGAGTTCAGCACTCAGGTACCAACAGGAAGTCTAGGTGCCCGGCCTCACCTAGGAGCACCCTATTAGTGAACACGGTGGGGGGGGGGCTCCTTAGGAGAAGAGCCTGTCCTTGAGGTCTCTGGGCCAGAATGTGTTGGTCACCACCAGCAGCAAGGCTGGGAGGGAGGACTTTCCTGAGGGTGTAACATGTAACCTGTGAGGACCCGGCCACCTGAGGTGAGTTCAGTGGCCAGGATAGAAGCTGAGGGCTAGTCAAGCATTAATCACAGGGTGCTAATACTTGTACAAACCTGGGCGGGTGGGGCTCTGGAAAGAGGCAGGGAAGGAGGAGAGAAACGGGTGGGGGATGGAGAGATGGTCATTCATAGTATGGAGGGGGGAGACCAGGGGCTGCTGTCCCTCCACCTTCCGGAGGGAGGAGGAGACCAGGGGCTACTGTCTCTCCATCATCTGGAGGAAGGAGGAGACCAGGGGCTGCTGGCCCTCCACCTTCCGGAGGGAGGAGGAGACCAGGGGCTACTGTCTCTCCATCATCTGGAGGAAGGAGGAGACCAGGGGCTGCTGGCCCTCCACCTTCCGGAGGGAGGACAGCAGGGGCTGTTTTCAGATCTTCTGGCTCAGAGGACTCATTTTCTCACTGAGACCAGGGTTGGTTTAAGACAGGACGTCGTGACAGTGGTGCCAGCACTAGACAGCCTCACTGCTCATTTATGTGAAGAGGTGGGAACTGAGAGGACCCTGTCTTTGCAATTCTGAAAGGCTGCCTTCCAGTGCCATTGTTCACCTAAGTAACATTTTAGCCTTTAAAAATTCTGTAAAGTAACAAGCCAAGCTATTTAGTCTAGGCTGGGTGATTTTAATGACTATGCATGTGTAACAACAAACTATGGCTAACATTGGGAAGAATGGGAATTCCCAAACACTTGAGTACACTTATAAGAACTCTATATCTAGACTAAGAAGTTGTCCAAACAGAGCAAAGGAAGACTACATGGTTTAAAACCAAGAAAGGGATGCATCAGGGCTGTATCCTAGCTCTACTCCTGTTCAGTCTGTGTTGAACGAACAATTCAAGAGGATAGACTTTACAAAGAATGTGTTGTCAGGATTAGAGGAAGACTCATCCACAACCTGCTTTATGCAGATGACACGGCCATGCTTGCTGCAAGTGACTGCAGAAGATTAAAGACCACAGCATTCAATACATCTCCACAACAAGAAAACAAAGATTCTCACTGAGTTGATAGGCAACATCTTGATAGATGGAGAAAAGATTTAAGTTGTCAATGAATTAATTTTTCCTGGATTCCCAGTCAATACTGTCAGGACCAGCAGTCAAGAAATCAAAAGACATAATGTACAGGGCAAGTCTGGTGTCTTCAAAATAATGACAAGCAATGATGCCAGCTTAAAGAATAAGGTGCATCTGATTCAGGCTGTAGTCTTCTCAATTACCTTTTATACACCAAAGAGCTGGACAGTGTATAAGGATGAAAGAATGACCGATGCCTTTGGGTTGTGTTGTTGCAGAAGAGTGCTACATATCTCATGGACTGCTAAAGCAATAAACATGTATGTCTTGGAGAAAGTGCAGACAGAGAGCCCCTTTGGAGGCAAGGATGGTGAAGCTTCATCTCACTTACCTTGGGTGTGTAGTTGGGATAGGCTATTCCTTGGAAAAGGACATCATTCTTGGAAAGGTGGAGGGCCAAGAAAAGACAAAGACTGTCCATGAGATGGACTGAGACAGTGACCACAGCAGTGGCTCTCGTGTGTCACGGATGATGAGGATGGTGCTAGATAGGACAGAGTTTAGATTGTTTGTTCACAGGGTCACTATGAATTGTACATGACTTGATGGCACATAACAACAATAACAAATACAAAAATATACAGAGCTCTGGTGGCTTAGTGGCAAGAAGTTGTACTGCCAAGTCTAAGACATGCAGTTTGAATCCGCCAGCTTCCCTGAGGGGAGCGGGGGGCAATCTCCCATGCAGTTTAAAAGCCTGTGAAAACCACTGGGCGTGAGCTATGAGTCACTTACAACTTGCAGATACACAGCAGCTACACCCAGAAATGGAAACCCCACTGTTGTCCCGCTGACAGAGATTCAGTGACCCCCTGTTGAATTTCCTAGACTATAGACCTGATAGATATCTCTGTGTGTGTTTGTATTTGTTTTTTCAGTGCCCACCTCATTCACACATCTATCTGTTATTCGTGTGTGTGTGTGTGTGTGTGTGTGTGTATGTATACATATATACGTCATATAAACATACATACGAAAAACCCCCATACGTATGTTACTGGAACTTTGGTGGTCTAGTAATAAGAAGCTCTGCTGCAATCCATCAGGCCTGTGGTTCAAATCCACCAGCTGCTGGTCCATGGGAGTTATGGGTCGGTTCAGGTTCAACATGACAACAACATGTTACTATAGAAATAGGTGTTTTGCAAGAGCGCTGGTGTCTAGTGGTAGGGAGTTATGCTGCCAACCCCAAAGCAGGAAGTTCGAATCCACCAGCTGCTCCATAGGAGAAAGTTAGGTTGTCTCCTTTCATGCAGGTTATAAGCCTCCGACAACCCGCTGGAGGGTCAGCTGTGAATCGATTCCAACTTCCTGGCAGCGAATGCCAACAACAAGGCACTTTGTGTGTGTCTACTCCAGATGAACGGCATCCATGTGCACGTGCATTCTATATGTGTGCACATGCACATTGTGCATGTACGTGTACACACAGGTTGTTGTTGTCAGGTGCCGTCAGATTGACTACCACCCCAGCAACCTTGTGAACAGCAGACCTGACCCCTACCCTGCACCATCCTCTGTGTCCATCACGGTCAAGCCCATTGTGTCAGTTTCTGTGACTGACCACCTCACCACGGAGCAGCCTCATTTTCATGGGCCCTCCGCCTTTCCCAGCATCCTGTCTCTCTCTCTCAGGACTAATCAGTGAAATTTCATCTTGTTTGGGGCTTATGTCCAGGAGGAACCAGTCTTTAGCGTCTGTGTCCATGCACACACACGTATACATGCGTGCATGTTTGTTTATGTGTGGAAATGTGGAGTCGGCCTCAGCTCACAGTGGCCCCGTGGGGAGCCGGGCTCCCAGGGTCTGCTGGGACTGGCTTGTGGACGACACAGATCACCATGACTTACTCCCGCAGTCCCTGACTGTAGGTGTGCACCCCCGGCCCTTCAGCTAGCAGCTGAATGGTTAACTGGGCCAAGCAGGGGCTCCTGACAATGTGTAGCTTGTTTTGAATTTGGGGTGGCTTTTGTCTCTTGCATCAAGCCTCTGTATAGAGGGGGTCCTGAGCACCCTGGAGCAGGTCCTGAGGAGGAGTGGGAAGCTGGCCGTGGTGCTCCACCGTCACCCACAGCTGTGCAAGGCGCCACGGCCATTATGATATTTGCTCTTGCTGAAAAGCCGATGCAGAAATCGTTCTCTTGTCAGGAGAGGGAAGGACTGCTCCCTCCTGTGGAAAGCAGCAGACCAGCGATCTAAGACATATTGCATTAAGCAAATGCTGACAAGGAACGCGCCAAAGTGCTACTAAAGAACTATGTCGCTTTAAAGACTAAGGTCCCCCAACCTAATCTTTGGCATTTTCTCCCCCCGGTATTTTAATGTCTCATCTGCATGTGACAGTTGGACAATGGCTAGGGAAGACCCAAGAAGGAGTTGGCTTGTGGTAAAGGTGAATATTGACTACACCCTCAACTGCCAGAAGAACAGGCTGTCTGTCTCTGGAGATGTACATCCAGCGTGTGCTGTAGATGCGAAGCTGGGAAACTTCGTCTCACTACTTTGGGAACACGTGGAGGAATCAGTCCTCAGCAAAGGACATCATGCTTGGGAGGAAACAGAGGCCATTGAAAGAGAAGACCCTTCACAAGCTAGCCTGACCCAGTGGCTACAGCAGTGAGTCAGCGCAGCAGAGACTGGGTGGCTGGCTCGGGACCGGGTCGGATGTTCTCTGCTACCTGTGAGTTACCACAAGTCAGCGCTGACTTGGCCACACCTAACTGCAGCCCTGGGCTGGTTGGCCGCACCTTGACGGATGGAGAGGAGGCTCAGGTTGTTAACAGTCACAGCTCTCTTGGCTCAAATAGTCAACACTCCCAGAACCAGCAGTCAGGAAATCAAAAGACAAAGGACACTGGGAAAATCGGCTGTCAGGGAACTCTCCAGAGCACTGAGAAGCAATGAAGTCAGTCTAGAGACTAAGGTGCACCTGATCTAGGCTATGGTCTTCAGAATTACTTGCTATACATCAGAGAGCTGGACAGTGACCAAGGATGGCAGAAGAAGAATCAATACCTTTGAGTTGTGGTGCTGAAGAAGTCTTGAACATACCATAGGCTGCCAAGAAAACAAATGGGTCTGTCTTGGGGAGGGTGAAACCAAGTTTCTCTTTGGAAGCTAGTATTTTAAAGCTCCTTCTCACATACTTTGAGCATGTGGCCAGGAGGGATGGTCCTTGGAGAAGAACATCATGCTTGGAAGGGTGGAGGGACAGCACAGGAGAGGAAGACCCCAGATGAGATGGATTGACAGAGTAACTAGCGCAATGCGGGTAGGTGTGTCAGAGTCAGTGAGTTGGCTCAGGACAGCACAGGCTTCAGAGCTCTTGTACATACGGTCGCTATGAGTTGCAGGAAACTTGATGGTACATAACAACAACTACCTTCATATATATTTTTTTAAGATTTGGCAAATGTTTGTCATCATAGAAATTTCACTTCTCTTGCATATAAATTTGAAATAAAAGCAATCACTTTCATACCCAAGATGGGCACGTAATAACATTCATTAACTGCATTTAACTTGATTGCTTATCAAAGTCATAAATGTAAACAGTGTCTTGAACTTGGTCTTTGTGAAGTGAGGGAAGACAGCTCAGAGCCTGGAGGAGAGGCAGGTTGTTTGTTCTGTGAGATCCCCCTCCACGCCCCCTTTTTTCTCTCCTTGGAGACTTTCTTGTCTCTTAACACTGGAAGGTAGCTCTGCTCGGTGTCCCTGTCGCCCAAGGAGCAATGTCTCAGACAAGAGAGAGAGAGGTCCTGCTTGGACCACAGGTCACATAGGTAGGAGCCGCTGCCCAGAGACCTGGCTGCACATTGGTGCGATTCTGAGCCAATTTTAATCCTTCCACTGTATGAAAATCCTCGCCACATGACCACTAGGTAGCATCATGAGAGTTGGAGAAAACATGGAAGTTGTCAGCTATTTCCAACATCCGGGGTAAGAGCAGTCAAGAAATCAAAAGACATACTGTATGCATTGGGAAAATTTGCTCTCAAGGATTTCTGCAAAGTGAGAGAATGTCAAAGGGCGAGGGTGTTAAAGACTAAAGTGTTCCTGACCCAAGCCGTGGTCTTTTCAGTTTCTTTCAATACATCTGATCTGAACGTTGGACAATGAATGAGGATGACGAGAGAAGAATTAATACCTATGAGCTGTGGTGTTGGCGAAGAGCCATCCCATGGACGGCTAAAAACCCCAAACAGATATGTCCTGGAGAGGGTGCAGCCAGAGTGCTCCTTGGATTCACTTCACGATGTTAAAAGGAGTTAGTCCTTGGAAGGGTTAGCATGCTGGGGAAGGTGGAGGGCCAGAGACAGAGGAAGACCCTCATCAAGATGGATTGATACAGTGACTGTAACAATGACCGTGTCGGATACGCTGAGCATATGGCCGGACAGGACAGGGTTCACATCTGGTCTTTACAGAGTGGCAACTCAGCAGTGCCTAACAACAACAGCAGTCTAGTATTTGTCATGGCTTTATAAGGTTTGGGTTAAAAATAATCTTAATCTAGGGAGCTCTGGTGGCCTAGTGGCAAGAAGCTGCACTGCAATCCCAGAGGGGCATGGTTGAAATCCACCAGATGCTCTGCTGGAGAAGGAGGGATAATTTCCTCCTGTAGCAGTCAGATATGATTTGACAGTACACACACACACACACACACACATAAAAAAACCAATAATCCTAATCAAGTGTGCAGCTGGCGGGAGAACACCGGCTGGGGGAGGTGTTGAGAGGTGTGTCCGTGAAGACGTTGGAGTTTGCCGTGTGTTCGGACACAAGTCCTCTCTGCACTGACACTCAGCTTCAGCTCTCGCGTGACCACCAGGGATGTCTCTGTCTTTTGCTTCCTAGAGTCGGTTAAGGCAACAGGACGTGGGGCTGAAAACACACCTGGAAGAGCTGGAGCAGCAGATCAGCCAGCTGCAGCTGGGTGTGCGGAGGGGCGTGAGCGAAGTCCTAGACAGTGACAGCCGGCCCAGCTCAGGTACCAGGCACCCGGGACGCAGCACCCGCCAACCCCGCACCTGGGACATGGGTCAGGAGTAGAGAACAAAACCCCAAGGCCATGGTTTACAGGGACCCAGGATCTGAGGCCAAACAGGCCCTGTACAGGGGACACAGGGTCCTTGGGACCACACGGGCCCCATGCAGGGGACACAGGGTCCATGGGACCACACAGGCCCCGTGTAGGGGTACCTTTCACCCATAAGACCACAGAAGCCCAGATGAGGAGAGGGTCATAGAGCCCCCAAGACCACCGTGGCCTGATCTATGGATGCCTACCACCCATGGGAACATAAGTCTGGTCCAGGGGCATTAAATGGACCTTTTGGCGAGTAAGGACTTGGCAATGTTCTGGGGGCTGGTTACCAGGTTTGTGCTGACGTCTGTCTACTGTTTGCCGAGTGACAGCCATTCCAGACCCGCCTTCGCAGGTTCCAGGGCATGCCCGAGATTTCATCAGTGTCACCCAGCCTCCTGGGGCTCAGCACCTCCACTGACCATGAACTTCTTCTGAGCGGGGTTCTGCTGGGGCAGCGCAGGGGTGGGGTCTTGGAGGGTTCAGCGCAGAGGCCGGGGGGTGTGAGGTACTGCTGGAGACAGGGTCCTGTGGTCAGAGGCAGCCATGCTGAGCCCCTGTCTGTCCCTGTGTCCGCCCTGGCAGGTTTCTATGAGCTGAGCGACACCACCTCTTGCTCACGCTCCACGTCTTCTACCTCGGTCTGCAGTGAGTCGGTGTCCCCCTCCTCACATGGCGGGATGCCCAGTGCCCAGGCCCTGGTGTCCTGCACACACCAGCTTGCGGACTACCGGCCACGGTCAGCTGACGAGACCACTGTGCACACAGCTCTTGGCCCCCCTCTCAAGCCACACCTCCCTGAGGGCCCCAGCATGGCTTGCGGAAGCTTCAGACCCAGGCCTGTGTCCACAGGTAAGGAGTGACCAGAAGGGGTGGCGTTCATGATCAGTGTGACCCCCATCATGGACTCTGTGATTTCAGTGGCCGAAACTAGGCTTTGGGGGTTTCCAGAGGCTGATATTTCAGAAGTGGGGTACTAGGACCTTTGGAGCTGCCTCAGGGTAGATTTGAACCCTCATCTCTCAGTCAGCAGTGGGGTGTGCTTGGCATCCACACCTCCAGGGACGCAGCTGTAGGGAGAACCCATGTCACACTGGAAGCGAAGACACCCAAGGACATCATCCTACAGCCTCTGCTCGTCACAGAGGAGCCATGGTGGTGGAGGAGGGCTTGGCTGCCATCCCAGACGTTGTGAGTTCTAAGTCCCAGCCCCTCCACAGACGAGGCCCTGTGTACTGTGGGGATGTGGTGGGTACACTGAGCACCCCATTCTGCAGAGTGGCTGTGAGGCAGAGTGCTGGCAGCAGTGACGCGGTTACAGAGATGATACCATCTCCCTAGGAGAAAGGAGGGCTGTTTATAAAGACTGAGGTTGAATCAAACACCCACTTCTGATTAATATGGCCAAGATTATCTAATAAAAAGCATTTTTTAAAAATCTGATTTAAAATTAACATCAGAATGTTAAAATGAACACATTCAAGAACTCCTTGTCTGCCTCAGGAACGCCGCCTGTTCTTAGAGGGAATGAGCCCAACATAGAATTCCAGTGACACTTGGATTCCCCCTTTGATGTCTCCTTGTTGGCAGATGCCGTCACATCAGCTAGGACACAGTGACGCTGAGAACAGCAGATCTGGACCTTGCTCTGTCCTGCGCCTGCCTCACAGTGTCCATCCGGCACACGCCCGTTGTGTTTACGTTGTTATGTACCAGCACTTCTACCAGGACTCAGCAGCACTGTGAACAATCTGAGCCCAGCTCTGTCCTGCGCCGTCTGCTCCATTCCCGGTGGACTTGACCCTTTGTTACAGTCACTGTGTCAGTCTCTCCTGCTGATGGGCTTCTATGCTCCAGGCACCACGTCCTTCTCTAAGGCCTGTCCTTCCTAACAACATGCCTGAAGTATGTGAGCTGGGGAGTCACTCTCCTTGCTTCAAGGGGCGCCCTGTTGGCACTTTCTGCAACAGACGAGTTTCTGGCAGTCCATGGGACTCAGTTCTCTAGCACAACTCAAAGGCATCAGTTCTTCTGTCATCTTTAATCACTGTCCAACTTTCAGATGTATAACAAGTGATTGAAAAGACCGTGACTTGTACCACATGAGATGTACTTAGTCCTTAAACTGACATCACTACCTTTCAGTGTGTTACGGAGAATCCTGACAGTGTATTTTCCTAATGCGATACTTGTTTTGATTTCTTGGCTGCTGGTATCAAGGGTCTTGATTACGGATCTTTTCTCCATCTATCATGATGCTGCCTGTTGGTCCAGTGGTGAGAACTTTCCTTTCTTAATGTTGGGATGAAATCTATATGAAAGGCTATAGCTGATCTTCAGAAGCAAGTGCTTCAGTCCTCTTCACATTCATCAAGCAAGCGTGTGCCATCTGCATAATGCAGGTTATTTATGAGTCTTCCCCTGATCCGGATGCCACGGTCTTCTTCCTAAAGTCCAGCTTCTCAAATGATTTGCTTATCATACAGATTGAATAGTTTCAGAGAAAGGACACCGCCCTGACACACACCTTTCTTGATTTTAAACTATTGTGGTCTCCTTGTCAACCATCTCACTGAGGCTCTCCTCTTTTGCTGACATTCCACCTTTCCCAGCAGGATGTCACTATCCAAGGATGGGCCCTCCTGGTAGCAAGCCCCAAAGTGAGACGGCATGTCACTGTGCTTGCCTCTAAGGAGGACTCTGATTGTGCTTCCTTCTAGATTTGTCTGTCCTTTTCGTAGTCCTCAGGCTATGCAATACTCTTCTCCAACACTCCAATGAAAAGGTATCAATTCCTCTTTGACCTTACTTATTAATTGTCCAACTTTCACATCCACAGGAAGCAATTGAAAATATCAGGGCGTAGATTGCTGTTGTTGTTGTTAGGTGCCATCAAGTTAAGTAGTTCCCATAGCAACCCTGTGGACAACAGATCTGAGCCCTGACCTTTCCTGTGCCACCTTCACACTTTGTGATGCACTAGAGCCCATTGTGGCAGTCACTGTGACAGTCCATATGGCTAAGGGTCTTCCTCTCCTTCACTGACCCTCTGCTGTCCAAGCATCCTGTTCTTCTCTGACCCTCCTAACAAGATCATATTGCAAGGAACTGAATCTGATGTATTGTAATATCAAGAGCTTATGGGCATGACACAGCCTGTACCTAGTTGGTGCCATGCATTGACTGCACCTAATCAGACACTCGCAGCTCCAGGTATGTGAGGTGACGCTCTATCATGTCTTCCTCCAAGGGGCACTCTGGCTGCACTATGCCCACAACATCTCTGCTTGTTCTCTCGGCCATCCGTGGGATTTCAGGGCTCTTCTCCAGCACCACAGCTCAAAGGCATTGGCTCTTTTCCTGTCATCCTTTTTCACTTTCCAGCTCTGAGTTGCATAGCAAGTGATCAGAAAGACCATGACCTGAGTCTGACACACCTTAGTCCTTAAGCAGACTTTCTAGGTGAAGTACATCTCCTGATTTCCTAGCTGCTGATGCCAAGATTGTTGATTGTGGATCCAAGTAGAACGAAGTTGTTGACAGTTTCAGTCTTTTCTTCATCCATTTTGATGTTGTCTATCAATCAGTCCAGTGGTAAGAATCTTTGTTTTCTTGATATTGAGACGCAATCCATACCGAAGGCTGCATTCCTTGATCTTCAACAAGTGCTTCAAGTTCTCATTTTCAGCAAACATGGTTGTGTCATCTGCGTAAAGCAGGTTATTAATGAGTCTCCCTCCAATCCTGATGCCACATTCTTCTTCATAGAGTCCAGCTTCTCTAATAATTGTGCAGCACACAGATTGAATAGGTACAGAGAGGGCATACAGTCATAACACACTCCCATGCGCGATGTTTTAAGGGAGAAGACCAGCAGAGGCGCAATGGCTACACAAGTGGTGGAGGACAGAGACCAGTCAGGAGACCAGAGCTCCAGCGGGCAGCAGCTGAGGGAGTGGACCGAGTGGAGCAGTGGCAGCAGGATCAGCCAGCATCACAGGCGTGTCTCTTAACCTGAGAAGCCATACACAGTGTTGTCTACAGGGAGGGGCGAGAGGAGTGCCGACCAGGCCGGAAAGGGCTGGGGAGGGGAGGGCAGGAGGGGCTGGAGTGGATGCTGAACGAAGTAGATGCTGACAGAGCAGGGCAGGGGCAGAATCAGATCACAGGCACCAGAGGCAGGGTGGGGAGGTGGGGACCTAACAGTCCTGGGTGGGATCCTGTCTGCCAGATACTGCTCAAAGTAGAACATCTAAATGAAGACAGACTAGGAGGAAGTCATACACGTCCGAGAGAACAGGCCTTGACAACCCTACGCACAATAAATGTGGCACACTTCAGTTCGACTAGCAGATATGGCACCTGGGGATGAGCGCTCCTGTAAACAAACACAAGGAAGGAGGGCTGGCTGCAGGCAGGCTCCAGTGATCGGAATGTGGGAAGCATGCATGTAGGTAAACTGGATGTTGTTAAGAGAGAAATGGAATGTATAAGTTGACATAGTTGGCATTGGCAAAATGAGATGGATTGGCATGGGACGTTTTGAATGAGACAATCATATGATTTATTATGCTGAGACTGAAAGGGTGAGGAAAAGCAGGGTCACAACCAAGAAGTTAAGGAGCTGAACAGAAGATTTCAAAGGGCAGCAGGGGAAGACAAAGGGAAGTATTTTACTGAAATGTGCAAAGAGCTGGAGTCAGAAAATCCAAAGGGTTGCACTCAGCATTTCTTTAGCTGAAGGAACTAAAGAACAAATTCAAGCCTCAAGTTGCAATGCTTAAGGATGCTATGGGCAGAATAATGAATGACCCAGGAAGCATCAAAAGAAGATGGAAGGCATACCCAGAGTCACTGTACCGTAAAGAACTGGCTGACACAGAAGTTTTCCATGAAACAACTTATGTTTGAGAGGCAATAGTGATGAAGGAGGAAGCTCAAGCTGCTCTGAAGGACTTGGCAATAAAAAAAACAAAACAAATCAAGGCCCCAGGAATTGATGGAATACCAATTGACATATTTCAACAAACAGGTGAAGCACTGGATGTGCTCACCAGGTTATGCCAAGAAACGTGGAGGACAATTTCGTGGCCAACTGAGTGAATAGATTCATATTTATGGTATCACTAATATCACATCCAAGCAAAATCCTCTTGAAGATTATTCAAGACTGACTGGAACAGCATGGTCAGAGAACTACCAGAAATACAAGCTGGGTTTAGAGGAGGCTGTGGCACTAAGGGCATCATTGCCAATGTCATGGATCTTGGCTGAAAGCATAGAGTACCAGGGGAATATCTATCTGTGTTTCATTGACTATGCAAAGGCATTTAACTCTGTGGTTTATAACAAACTGCGTCTAACCTTGAGAAGAAGGGAATCCCAAAGCACTTGATTGCGCTCATGCAAAAACTATGTGACACCAAGAAGAAGTCATCAGAACAGAGCAAGGAAACTGCACAGTTAAAAATTAGCAAAGGAGTGCATCAGGGATGTGCGTCTTATCTCCATGAATTCAGAACAGAGCATTCGAGAGGCTGAATTTTATGAGGAAGAATGTGGAATCAGAATTGGAAGGAGACTCTTCAACAACTTGCCTTATACAGATGACACCACCTTACTTGCTGAAACTGAGAAGGGCCTGAAGCATCTGCTAGGGTCAAGGACCATAGATTGCAATATGGATTGAAGCTTGGCATCAAGAAAACAGATTCTCACCACTGGGCCATTTGACAGCATTGTGATAGATGGAGAAGAGATTGAGGTTTTTAACAATTACAGCTTGCTCAATTCCACAGTCAATATTCTTGGTAACAGGAGTCAAGAAATCAAAAGAGAAATTGTATTAGGGAAATGTGCTGTCCGGAACCTCTCCAGAGTACTGAAGAGCAAGGATATCAGTCTAGAGACTAAGGTATGACTATTATTACAGGTTGTGGTCTTCACAATTACTTGCTATGCATCAGAGAGCTCGACAGTGATGAGAGATGACAGAAGAAGAATCAATGCCTTTGAGTTGTGGTGCTGGAGAAGATTCTTGAACATATCATGGACTGCCAAGAACTAACAGGTCTGTCCTGCAGAGGGTGAAACCAAGCTGCTCCTTGGAGGCAAGGATTTTGAGACTCTGTCTCAGATATTTTGAGCATGTCGACAGGACAGTCAGTCTTTGGAGAAGTGTATCAGGCTTGGAAGGGTTGAGGGACAGCGCAGGAGAGCATGAGATGGACTGACGCAGTAACTGGAGTGATGACGGTAAGTGTGTTAGAGACAGTGAGACTGGCTCAGGATACATTGTGCATAGGATCTCTATGAGTCACAACAACTTGACTGCACATAACAACAGTGTTTCCTTGTTCTGTTCACACAACAGCCTCTTGGTCTAGCTATAGGTTTTTCCATGAGCACAATTAAGTGCTCTGGGATTCCCATTCTTCCTAATGTTAGCCATTACTTGGTACGGTCCACACAGTCAAGCACCTTTGCATTGTCAATAATGCATAGTCATTCTTCCGGGATTCTTTACTTTCAGCCAGGATCCATCTGACATCAGCAATGATATTTGTGGTGTCATGACCTCGTCTAAATTCTGCTTGAAATTCTGGCAGTTCCCTATCCGTGTACTGTTCTAGTCACTTTTGAATGATCATCAGCAGTATTTTGCTTGCATGTGATAGTAATGGTAGTTTGATAGTTTCCACATTCTGGTGATTCACCTTTCTTGGGAATGAGAACAAATACGAACATCTTCCAGTCCATTGACCAGACAGCTGTCTTCCAAATTTCCTGGCATAGATTGACTGATGAACACATCCAGGGCTGCATCTTTTAATTGAAACAAGTCAATTGTTATCCCATCAATACCTGGGGCCTTGCTTTTTTTGCTAAGTTCTTCAGTGCAGCTTTGACTTCCTCCTTCATTATCATGGGCTCCTGCTCACGTGGTAGTTCCTGAGATCTTTTTGTGGCTTGGGTTAGGCACACATTAATCTTTAAACTGACACCCTTCTTCTTTAGGACTTCGGAGAGATCCTGGATGGCTGCTTTCTCCAGTGCATCACATCTTTTGATTTCTTGACAGATGTTACCATGGGAGTTGGTTGTGAGTCCAAGTAAAATGAAATCTTTGACAACTCATCCTTTTTTTCTTCGGACATTATGGTGCCTTTTGTTCCAGTGGGAGGGATCTTTTTTTCTTAGCGTTGAGAGGTAACCTCTCTTGAAGGCTGTCGTCACTGATTTTGTGCAGTAAGTGCTTCAATCCTCTTCACTTTCTACAAACAACATTTTGCCATCTGTATAATGCAGGTTTTGGATGAGTCTTCCTCTAATCCTGTTGCTACATGCTCCTTCATATAGTGCATCTTTTCAAATTGTTTATGTTCCTTAAATTTGTGCTCCTTGGAGGCAAATGTGATAAAGCTTCAATCTCATACTTTGGACATGTTGCTGGGAGAGGGACATTATGCTTGGAAAGGTGGACAGTTGGGTTGATGACAGAAAGGAAGATCTTCAACGAGACAGGATGACATAGTAACTGTAGCAATGGGCTTGAGTGTGTCAGATATGTGAGGATGGCACAGGACAGGACAAGTTTCAGATACGTTGTTCGTAGAGTCTCTATGGGTCATCCTTGATTTGATTGGCACTTATCAACAACAACAACAGATTTGTTTGCTCAGAAAATTATATAGCTTTAGGGAGGAACTGTTCTTTTCCTGTAGACCACACCAGGTGACACACAAGTAAGTTTTTTCTCTTTGCCCTCTGAGTCTGGCATCATGGTAGCCATTCCATCTTCATGGTGAAAAACCCCCATGACACTCTGCAGTTCCCGTGAGTGCTACAGGGCAGGCCCATCCTCTGAAGGCCCACCTGGACATGCCCTGCCTGACTGCCCAGCTGGTAGAATGAGGGCATGGACCTGGGCAGCAGAGCTGGGCTTTGTCTTTTACAAACTTGCTGTCATCGAGAGGGCCATGCCTGGCACCTCAGGGTGGCGTTAACACGTCCATGTGATGTTTGAACCGCAGCTGTGGATGCCAAAACACACAGTGTTCTTGCACATGCCATGCTCTGCTCTCTCTATGTGTCACATGTTGTGTTGTGTTGTGTGCATGTGTTGACTGCGTCACCGCGTTGTTGATGGAAACACTCTGAGTGGTTTCCATCTGGCCCTGAACTGAATCAAGGTGTGCTGTCATCAAGCAAACATGAAGTTATGCCTTAATTAAGCAGCTTCCTTATTAGTTAAACTCATACTTAACTATACAGTGAGCATTGCACCGCGTTCCTTCCTGATCTGTTCATCTGTATCTTCTTCTCAGGAGACCTGGAGACGGCTGTGCAGACCAACAGAAGCCCCCAGAAAGCAGGCATCAGTGTCTGGTCTGGTGCCCCCCTTGGCTGTGCGGCCAGTGTCCTGCAGCTCAATCTGGACCCCAAGTACCAGAATGACCTGGTGTCTCGAAGTGGCAAGCAAGTGTTCCCCTACCCCAGCCCCCTGCATGCGGTGGCTCTGCAAAGTCCCCTGTTTGTCCTAACCGAGGAGACCCAGCAGGCCGGCAGCAGAGAGTCCCCCAAGGACCTCCATCCAGGCTGCACAGGGACAAGCTCAGTCCTGACCAGGCCTGTCCCCAAGACTCTTAATGGGGGAGTCTACATCGACAAGCTGCTGCAGCGGACAGGGCGCCAGGGAAGCTCCAGGAGGGGCAGCATGGGGGAGTGGGGACCCCGTAGGTCTAGAGTGTCTACACCCCACCTGACACTTGGAAAGCCAGTCTGCTCTCCACAGAGCAAAGCACAGGAAGATGTGACTCAGAGAGGGGCCACTTACTTGGGGACCCTGAAATATAGGGAAACTGTGGCCGCAGTGAACACCCAGCAGCCAGCTGGCCTTCCAGAAGCTTCCACACCCTTAGAGAGCTGTGTCCTTGGGAAGACCACCTGGCCACCCTCTGTTCTGGAACAAGATGACTCCCCCTGCCCACCCATCCAGCCCCCCGGCCACATCCCCCAACACTGGGCTGACACTGCCCACCTGCCCTGGAGGACAGGGGTTACCAGGAGCCCCTCTGTGTTCTGGGGGCAGTTTGTTCCTGACCCATCTGCTATTGATCCTGAAGCTAATCCCGCACAGCTGAAAACAGGGAACCGCAAGCCCAAGGCCAAGGTCAAGTGGAGGACAAGTGACAAGGCTCTGAGGTTCCCAGAGAGGCCATGGGGGGCTCAGCTGGTTTCTTGGGTGCCCTCAGAGTGGAACCCTTCCTCTGGGCTCCAGGGGCACCAAGTTCTCCAGGCCAGGGCAGCCACAGCCAGGGATGTCCCTGGACGGTCTTGCTCTGTGACCACCCTCACCCCTTTACCCTTTCTGGTGCCGCTGGTGGTGACCCAGCAGAAGAGCTCCCAGACATTAGTGCAGGACCTGCACCCCATGACCACCACCCCACTCACCGTGTTGACTGGTAGCTGGGCCAGGAGGAAACAGCGCAGGTGGCGGTCCTCAGTGGAGATCTCGACCAGGGCTCACTCCAGTGGACTCCCTTCCCACCCTGGCCTGGGACCCTGCAGGCCACCAGGCAAGAGAGCAGGATGTCCCCACGGCAGACCCCCACCTCCCCGGCTGCGCCCCCGGCCCCACAGTGAGTCACAGTTCTCAGAGCTCCCAGCTGAGGGCAGCCCCCCCTTGGACTCCACCCTTGCTGAGACCAGTGAGGATAAGGATGGCAGTGACCACACTGCCAACTGCTTTGGGGACAGTGAGTCCAGTGAAAGTGAAGTAGAGGAGGGCAAGGGCAGCCAGGCAGTGCGCCGGGGCACAGCTAGGCCAGGGCGACCTACACGGCCTCCACCAGCTGTCCCACAACCCCCTCAGGCCGGCACGGGGACAAGGCCTCCTCCAGCACCCAGACTCTGCCACATCAAGGCCTCCAGAACCTTGAAGAAGAAGCTCCGCAGGTTCCAGCCGCAGGCTCTCCGAGTCATGACCACAGTGTGAGCCCAGCGACCCCCCACTGGCCCCACCTGTGCAGAGGTTCAGCTGGGGTCTCTTGCAAGAGACAGAGGTGTTTCCAGGCTAGTGACTACAGGGGGTCACCTGGGCAGCCTTTCAGCTGTTTCTGCAAGTCTGGGTTTTTAGAAGACACATTGTCAAGTTTTCTACTCAGGAGAGATGAGGGAGCTCAATTTTGGTCACCACAAGCTGTTTCTACAAGTGCAGAAAATATATTCGGAACGTGAACATTTCTTATTTCCCTCTCCATGTACACCTCCCTGCAAGAAAAGCTCCTCATCCCGCTGGTCCTCATATTTCATCACTGTCTTTATCAGTCACCACTACCATAACCACCTCCACCATCACCATCGTCATCACCTCCACCATCATCATCGTCATCACCTCCATCATCATCTCTGTCACCATCATCGTCATCACCTCACCACCTCCATCATCATCATCGTCATCACCACCACTTCCGCCATGATCATCATCATCACCTCCACTATCACCATCATCGTCATCACCTCATCACTTCCACCATCATCGTCACCATCACCTCCACCACCACCATCATCGTCATCACCTCCACCACCACCCTCACTGCCGTCACCACCTCTGCCACCACCACTCTCAGTCACCAGCATCCTCAGTGTCATCACCACCAGCTCCACCACCGTCACTGTCGTCATCACCTGGCTGGCTGCTTCTCGTCTAACTCTGGATCCCCTACAACAAGAGTATAGTTACAACACCGTGTTGGAAGCTGGGTTAAATCTAAACTCCCATATTAAACTCCCAACATGAGTAAACTACCAAATCATGCTGATATCTTCTTAAATAAAACAGTGCTTTTCCTTTGCTCTACTCTGGCCCTTTGCTGCTTCTTAAGGTCAGCGTTCTAACTCAGGTGGGAAGATGCCCACACTCAGGCTCTGGAACAATCTAATGAGCACAGAAGCTGTGCTCAGCACCCTTTCCCTTTATTTTTGCGGAGCAAAACATCCTCAGTGTGAAGGGTCTGCAGGGAAGTGACCTGCTGAGGATGGCTCCTGATCTTAAGGCACTGCCCTCCTGAGGAGCCCACGCACAGCCCCAGAGCTCTGGCTTGAGAGGTGGAGGACGGAGAAGGGGGAGTTCTGAGGTCAAGGGCATTTATCCATGGACGAAGGTCTGGAACTTCCCAGCTAATGCGTGGTTGGCATGTTCATCCTAGGGCACAGTGGTAAGAAACCTGTTAAAAACCCCGGAAGTCTCCAGGCATTGCTTAAAGATTCTTGTCCCAGCAGGTTGGCTTCAGGGTGCTCTTTTAAAGGAAACACAGGAGTTGTCCTCTGAGGAGGCGGGAGAGGCTATAGTTCCTGAGAGGCAGACTAAAATTGCTCCCTTTTTCTAGGCAAAGGTTCAGACCTTGAGACACATCCCATCCACGGAGAGCAAGGCCCACCCTCCTGGAAAGGTGCCTGCTGGCCTCTCAGCTTTATGGAAGCAACATTGTCATTTAATGGGGTGTTCACTCCCCTACATTGTACTGCAGTACAGTGGTTAAAGCTCGGTTGTCAACCATGGACCGCTTCCAACCAACCAGAAGTGAGGTCTGTACTGTTGAGATGACAACCTTGGAGTCCTTTGGGGCAGTTCTGCTCTGTCCTGCAGTCAGTGTCAGCCCAACAGGACAGCACACGCAGCACTGTGTGAGGAGAACCAGGGGCCACCGATAGTGGAACTTCAACAAGGCATTGAGCCAGGAGGCCTGCGAAAGTCCATCAGCAATAAGCGGAGGAGCTCAGCTCCCCTCGGATACGCGTGGGGTCACCATGGCTTGGAGGTGACTTGGCTACAAGCTGAGAGGACTTCTGGGCTCCAGGCCTGCCCGCCTTTCCTTGTCTTCTCTACTCTCATGGGCCCTGGAGGTCCAGCCACCAGAGCAGCTTCTCTAGGCAGGACTTCCACGACTAGCTTTACAGCCCTTCCTTCCCACACAGATGGCCCTCAAGTCTCATCTGGTGGATATTTTTGCCAGTACAGCTACACAAATGTGTTTGGAGTTCACCTGAATTGGGTTAGCTGTTCTCTGTATCCTTTGTCCTAGAACATAGGGCAGTATGTCAGGTTGTGGAGGGGTACAGAGGCACTGTCAGAACGTGGACACACACACCCTACCCCAGGGTAAAGGGAGGGTTACAGAGGCACCATCAGGACATAGACACACACACACACACCCCATGCCCGGGGACATGGGCACACACACCATGTGCTGAGATGTGGACACACACACCATGCCCGGGGACGTGGGCGCACACACACACACACACACACACACACACACAC